ATTGTGCGTGAGTATCTGGAGGTGTTTCCAGACGAGCTACCAGGAGGACCACCAGATAGACAGGTCGAGTTCTCGATTGACTTGGTTCCGGGAGCGGGCCCTGTGTCGAAGACACCTTACCGTATGGCTCCGAAGGAGCTGCAGGAGCTGAAGACACAGATTCAGGAGCTGTTGAAGCTCGGTTTTGTGCGACCGAGTGTTTCACCGTGGGGAGCACCGGTCCTTTTTGTGAAGAAGAAGGATGGGTCGATGAGGATGTGCATTGACTACCGAGAGCTCAACCGACTCACTGTGAAGAACAAGTACCCATTGCTCAGGATCGAGGACCTGTTTGATCAGTTGAGGGGTGCCAGCGTATTCTCGAAGATAGATTTGAGGTCTGGCTACCATCAGCTAAAGATAAATGAGTCCGATGTTTCTAAGACCGCGTTTCGAACTCGGTATGGCCATTACGAGTTTGTGGTCATGCCCTTCGGATTGAGTAATGCCCCAGCCGTCTTCATGTACCTCATGAATCAAGTGTTCCACCCCTACCTTGATCGGTTTGTCATTGTCTTTATTGATGACATTCTGATATATTCTCGAGACGAGGAGCAGCACGAGCAGCATCTGCGTACAGTTCTAGAGACACTTCGTCGAGAGCGACTGTATGCCAAGTTTTCGAAGTGCGAGTTCTGGTTGGATCGAGTTGCCTTTCTCGGACACATTGTCACCGCTAAGGGGATAGAGGTCGATCCGAGTAAGATTGAGGCGGTGAGTAACTGGGAGGTTCCGAGGAATGCGAGTGATATTCGCAGTTTCTTGGGACTAGCTGGCTATTACCGTCGCTTCATAGAGGGCTTCTCGAAAATAGCCCAACCATTGACCCAGCTGACGAAGAGGTTAACTAGATTTGTGTGGAGTCCCCAGTGTGAGGCGAGCTTCCAGGAGTTGAAGACGAGGCTCACTACGGCACCTGTTGTTGGAGTAGTATACCCGGCGTTCCAATTAGATTGGACGTATTCTACTTATAAATACAATCTATTGGAATTATATTAAATAATAA